CTTGTAAAAATAAATCCATAATTCTCATCAATGAAACTTGTATAGTTATTTCTTGATATCCCAGTAATAAATTTATTATTAATCAATGTATTTAAATTACTTATGATTTGAGCAACATTGATTTCCTGTGAATCTTCATTATCAGGTTTCGTGATTTTATATGATAACAATAAAGTAGGTGGTGATGTTGTATAATCCATCTGATCTTTAATAAAACTCAAACGAGTTGGGTTGATTGGTGCTAAATTTGCTAATTCATTCTTTAAATTTCCAATAAATTCTGATCTATTTGTTGAATCAAGATTAAATAAATTTGTTCCCTCTACATTGAGTCTCAAGATGCTATTTGCTGAATCTAATAAAAAATTAATAAGGTTTGGTTAATTAGATCCAAATAAATTTAAAAAAATATAAAATTTTTTTTTACCTGAATATTTAATAGCCACATTATCTTTTATATGAAATTGATTTATTAATTGATTTATAATAATATTTATAATAATTTAAAAATATTTTTACCTGTAGTAAATTTCCATATATTTTCATGAATTCCAATCAATGGTTGGTTAGTGGAAGATAATTTCAATGCACCATCCTCAACTATTACATAATAGCTAGTATTAGGAAGATTAAATGTGCTTGTTAAGATTTGAATAGTCAAGCTTTTTTTATCATCACTTATTTTACAATATGAGGAATCAGCTGGGAATGATTGCCTCAAAATATTTTGATTATTATTATTTATTTGATATATTGAAATATTGTTAATAGATTGAACAATTGGTGTGTTGTATGTTACATTGATTTCTTTACTTCCTACTTCTATTGCTCCATTTATTGATGGATAAGTGGAATCAATATTTGGATTACTATATCCTTTATCTAATAATTAAAATGATTAAATTAGATATTAAATCCAACATGAATATTTTACAATGAATAAAAATCATTTACCATCTGGTAGAAATCTAGGAACTTTGGTTGAAATCAATTGCCAATTTTTATTATCATTTTCATTGGGTATAATTGCAATAAATGTATTATTCTGAATAAATATTCCATAGTTTCTATTGAGTGTTGGAGGTCCTAAAGATTTACTAATACTAAGTGATGGGACTGTCAAATTACTTGGCAGATCTAAAGTTGAATTTATCTTCAAATTATTATCTAATAAGTATCCATGAATTGTATATTTATCTTTATATATTTCACTTGGTGAAATAATATTGAATAAAAATCCTCCATAAAATAGTATAGATAAGAATGAATCAGTAAAATCTGGAATATGATCAAATTCTAATGGTTCAATTCCTGTAACAGCACTAATAATAAATATTAAGTTAATATCAATTAAGACAATACTAGAATTAAATTATTATATATCGAATAAAAGCCTACCCATCTGATAAAAATGAAATTTTCACCCAATAAGCCTTATGTTTTTTATTTTTCACAGTTAATTTCACAATACACATATATCTTGAACTAGTAATTGCTGAAGCACAATGCAAATAATCAATTGATAAATTTATATCTGTTGTTTGATATACCAAAAATGGTCCAACTATTTCATCTTTGTCAGGATATATTAAAGAAACATATATGGATATTGGTGGTTGATTTGGTTTAATATTTTTTGTGCTATTGTTATTTTCAGTAATTGTTGTGTTAGCAATAACAAGTCCAAATCCACCATCTAAAGCTGGAAAACGTGAAGAAAATAATATAACATCTCCATATTCAAATGGTGCTTGAGCAATAATTCCACTTTTCAATTTGGTTATTTCTCCATTTTCACTTCTAAAAATATTCATTAAATATATATTTATACTTAAATTATTATAATTAACTAATTAAAAAAAAATATAATTACGGAGAACTAAAATGAATCCATTGATAATCATTTGAATTTGTTTTGAAGTTACTCATCAAGAATTCCCCATTAAAACTTCCGTTTTCTGTAAACATACATGGACCATCAGGTACACCATTATAAGAACTTGATTTGTCTATATAAAATTCACTGGATCAGACCAATAAATTAGTTTAATCAGAAAAGTTATTTTTGTTTTAATCAATCATGATAAATTATTTTACCTAATGAATTCTCCATTTATAGATAACAAAATTCCATAATTTGCAGATGAATTTATATCAGTAGAATTCATATAAATCATTATTGCGTTTTTTGGTTGTAGTCTATAAATTGTTAGAGTAAACATAGGTCCCATTGGACCTATTGTATCTTTACAAAAATTGAATTCAGGTATTGAATATATCTGGGTGGAAGTTTCTATTGTTCCATTAGCATAAATTGTTCTAATATAAAATTTTGGTTCAACACATGTTTCATTAATAGGTTTAACCATGTAATTAACTAAGGTTCCATCTCCATAAAACAATGAATTAAATACATGAAGACCAGCTTCATTATCATTATATGTGGTAATATTATATGAATTTGCAGGCTGATTACTTAGAAGAACTACACAAAAAAGTATTAAAAATGCTATTGAACCAAAATTTTTTCCAGCCATTGTTATTTATAAATGGAAAAACCACTAGCAAAAATTATAACTATTTCATGAAAGACAAAAGGTGCATAAAGAAATTCACATAAGCATTTATAATATTTTTTTTCCTTTTTAAAAATATATTACGTTACGTGTAACGTTTTGGAGTAATAATAGCACACCATACAAGTGTTTCAAAAATCTTTATATTGTTCATTAATATTATACACAATGATATTTTATTTCTATGTTGTAAGATCGCAATAATAATAAATATAATAATAATTATTATTATTCATTTTCTATATTTATTTATTAACAACTTCGGAGAAAACAAGCGTAAAAAATAAAATAAAGATCAGCCTTAAAAATCAATTACATACAGTACAGTCACCCCCCTAAATGCACCCTCCATAAATGCACATCCTCTCTAAATGCATACTTTCACTCAATCCCAAACTCGGGACTTAAGAGATAAGTACACACTCTATATCTGCACTGCACTGTCTTCATTCCCAACTATATGAAAACTGTCAGAAAATTATACTTCGTGCTAGTACTGTTCCGTATGTTTAACAGTAATGTTTTTCGTATATATTAGTACACACTTTTATAGAACTTATAAGAAATTTCGCGTTTTAGCGATATGAAGCAAAATTTTAAAAATCGATTGTATCATTAGTATTAGTGAGAGTGCATAAAATAGAAACAATATTCGCTGAAATAAAGAATTTTCATTGGATTAATTTATTATGTATTGAATAGTATACCTGTAAAGAAAACTGGTCCGTGATTTGAAATTTTCTCCATAAATGTATCATATTCATGGAAAAGATTATAGAGGAGAGATAGACTTTTACCGCTGTTGTAAATTCGTGGAAATTTTCAGATGTATTTTTAGAATTAAAATTCAAATAACGGACTATTTTTTTATAGGGATATATTGACCCGAATTAAATTAAATCACGATACATTGGTTAATTTATTTATATATTAGGTATTAATATGTAGTATCATAGCCGAAATTGCTTCGCTTTTTCTTAATATTAATCGCCGAAATAGTTTTCATAGTGCATAGTAGTATGAAATTATTAATCTGAAATCATGATTCGTACTCGACTCGAATGAAACGAATCAAAATTAGATGGTTCGTGTTTGACAAAACTTTTCTGTTAGTTCAGCGCTAATACTCTGATATAAAATTTTCATGAAAATATTTACACCTTAAAGAAGATGGGATGAAGAGGTAATGAAGATGGAAAAATTGTATCTATAATTTCAAATATCATGTGCACATTCTCTTATAATGGTCTCTTTCTGTAAGTTAAATTACACTATAACGAATTTATCTTTCCATAGTGGATGATGAAAATAAAAATTTATAATTGTAAACTGCTCAAAAAATAATAATTCAATGTCATAAATGTAAGGTATTACGAATTAAATTCGTTAATTATAATTAGAAATAACTTAATAGCAAGGTGTTACGAACTAAATTCGTTAACTATAATTAGAAATAATAATAACACACACTACGCATATTGTTATATACAACAAAATAGCTAATCATTTCCTTATAGTAGTATGTTCATAATAAGAAATTCTAACAATACTAACATTGTCAAAATTCGGTTTAAAAGTTTCAAATCGATATTAGATTAATAACAAAGTTTAATGAAATTACTATAATTGAATTGAGCATACCATGAATGTTGTGATACCGTAACCCAACCAAAACCCTTAATATTGTTCTTTGGTTTCAATAATAACTTTATATTGTTCGTGTAATCCTTTTTTTCCTCTTTAGTATCTCAAAGAATGTCATAAATAAAAATTATATAAATACTTTCAAATTATGTAATGTAAAAAAAATTTATTTTCATCTTCAGCATTATTTAAAAAATTCCAGATACATAATTATTCATTTTACTTTCATTTGACTTTAAAAAATGTTTTTTGTTCCATTGATAAATCAAGCGTTTGTAGGATGGATGTTTGGTCTTGCATCAATGGTAAAAATTTTGTGAATAATTAAAAATTATTTGCCAGTTTTCTTTTATCTCAAAGCAAGTTTATTTAAATTTGTTGCTAAATTGTATTTTTTTTTTTTTTAGGTCTATTTACATAATCTTATCGTTTCAATGTTTTTATATAAAGCTCGACAGACTAATGTCTCGAATATTTTTAAAATCCTGTTTAATTTTGGCGGGCTTACTATATATATAGGTGAACTTTGGTTTTTAATTGTCCCAACTGACGTAACTTTAAATGAATGTAAAGCGGCTTCCTATACATTAATGCTCGGACACATTATTCATAAAAGTGCTTTGTCCGCATTCTTATTGTGGCGTTTAAGGCAGATTGAAAATAAGAGTATAGACTATTGGTTAGGCATTGCATTATTTTTCTGCAGATTTTGCTTTCATGTAAGTATACATATATGATATTTCGATATTTCGCTTTATTCTTATTTTTTTGCGGTTAATTCGTTTAACTAATAATATCCATTTGAAAATTAGTTTGCACAATTGCCTCTAATTAAACCAGCTTCGCAATTTGACCCAGAAACGAATGCAATGTTTTGTTTATCTGGAGTTGATGATGCCAGAACTACATTATTAGGGGCCATTTCATTTGATTTAGCAATTGATTTATATGTCACAATCCGATTAATGCAAGTTTTAAATAGAGCAAACAAAAACGCTACACAAATCTCATCAAATATTACAAGAAAAACAAAAAGAAGCTTATTTACAGCAGTTATCTACTGGAATTTCCTCCGATTGTTCTTTGCAACATGCTATAATGCTGCCCTTCTATACTACTCAGTGTTTGGGATTTACAGAGATCTTAATTACGAAATTACAACATATTCACTTGCAGCACAAGTTTTCTTGGTTATTTTATTGTCATATTCTATAACAGCAGATGCAGAAATAGTGAGAGTGATTGAGGGAAAGAAAGACGATAAAGGCTTCAGTAGTAACTCAGCTGGAACTGGGAAATCATATAAAAATATGCCACAAACTCCTAAAAGTACATCGTCTCATTACCAAACATCTAGTGAACCTCCAAAATATTCAACAGGAAATTACAGTTTCTCGAAAAATGAAAAACCAGAATCTGATAATATCGGTGACAATAAAATTGCCGTTGTGTCGATGAAAAGACTGTCGTTCTTCGAGTGGGCAAACGTAATAGTGGGTAATAAACTTGTCAAAAAGGATAATGATATAGCAGATGAAGAAAGTGGCGTTGAAAATGCTGAAGAAAACGGCATTGAGATTGTTGAAGAAAATCCTGAAGTTGCAGGCAATTATAGTAGAAGTAATAACCAGAATCGAGATAGTAGTTTTAGTGGTACAACAACCATAACAACTACAACAACATCCACAACTGATGATGATGATATTGTATAAATTTATTTTCATCTGTCAATTCCTTCCGACTAATTGTAAATGAACAAAAAAAAACAATTTATTTATTTTTATTTTATTAACTTAATTAATTAATTTATTTATTTGTAATATTAATTTTATTTACTGGACTTGTAATTTTATAATAATACCCATGAAGAAATTCAAAGACATTAATAATTGTAAAAAAATAATATATAACGCTCATTAATTAATAATAATTAATAAAAACATGAACGAAGGAGGAGTAGTAAATTTTTAATTTACAATTATTGCTTTATTTTCCTAATTTTATCATATTTATTAACTTAATTTATCTGTAATATTAATTTTATTTACTGGGTTTGTAATTTTATAATGATACCCGACATTAAATAATTGTAAAAAAAAACAATTATTGCTTTATTTTCCTAATTTGTCATTCATTTGCTAAACCAAAAGTAGCAATGAATTTGTAATGTTAATTAATCTTGCGATACATTGAATTGATAAATAAACCTTTATATGGATAAGAAGTATTAAATTAAATAATCCCGAAAATAGAAAGGGACCTTAACTCTGAAATAGCAATTCGTCACGAAGATTAATCCTTTAGCTTAAAAGTATATCCGACAGAAATTATTGCCCATGATAGTCGTACTGTATCTGAAATTTGATAAAGAAACTATATATAATGTCAATTCTACTTAAGGATATTCCATTTGATATTTAAAATTTCGAAGGCCTTGAAATTGAATGCTTGTGTAACATGTAAATAACACAGCTACATTATTTATCAAAGCTTCATTGTTTGCAATTAAATTTGTTGGGATATGCGAAAAAAACTTTTTATTTTCAGTTAAATTTTTTTCCTAGAAAAGTTGAAAACGCACGAAATTTTATTTGGATACCTACAAACAAAGTAATGTAAAATACGAGTAATTGGATGCATGCATTCATAAAATTTACTTTAGGACATTTCTAATGTTAAATTTTTTTTTATTTTAAAAATTGATTCAATCTACACATCATCTATATTTTCCTAATAAATAAAATGTATTAGCCACAAAAAATAAAAAGGAAAAAATAAACAAGTGTGGGGGGTTTACATGATGAAAAACAAATATAAAAATATGCAAAATAAAAAATATGCAAAAATATAAAAATATGCAAAATGAAAAAAAAATGAAAAAATGCAAAAATAAATACATAAAATGACATCAATCTAGTTTGCAAGTGTGTATATATATGTGCAAGTGTATATATAAAATATGTGTAAATGTATGTGTATGTGTGTATGTATGTATATATGTGTGATTTCATTAATTTATATTTGTGTGTATAATGATATAATTACAAGCCGATTGAAGGATATCTATTTATATGTGTCATGTTAGGATAATTTATTCTATCTTCCCAATAAATTCACGAACATTATTGCCATAAATTTTTAGGCTGAACGCTTTTTCAAATTGCGTTTTTTAAGTTCTTTGCGGCTCAAGAGACCGCTATTAATTGATCCTAAATCACGTTTTGCTCCAGCACCACCGCAAGCACGACATCTTTTTTGCGCATTGAGTTTGCTTTTGTTGGCTGGTAAGATAGAAATGTCGGCACAATTTAAATAAACATCCTCAGATAACTTTGGAATCCATCTAAAACGAAGCGTACAACGCTCGCAAGAAGTATTTTCAGGAAGTTTTACTTCGGCTTGAAAGTTTTCACCAACTTTATCTGCACAATTATCAATGGTACTAATGGGTTTAAAATCAGTATCTTTTCCGGTTGTTGACAAATCGATAAAACAAGTACCCTCCAAAGCCTTCTCAATGTCCCATTGAACGTTTACGACTTGATTGGTAGTATATGTTGTTAAAACTTTTCCAGGACCCAACTTGGTTCCACAAGGGTAATGTTTTGCTGGTGAGCGTGCATTTCGGAAGTTATTTTTTGCATCATTCTTTGTAAGGCGGATTTCTGGTAATGTCATACGACCATCGGCAGCTACATTGATAGTAAGGAATAATAGGGCGACGAGGAATATTTTCATGGTAAAGGAAAATGATGTTGATGATGTGGATGATGTTGAGGATTTAGGGAAGGATTTGTTTGAAAATGAATGTGTAGATAGCGCAGACATACTTTAAAAAATTTTTGGTTTATATGAAATATAATTTAGTTGTAATTGTTGAAGAAGTAATTGTAATGAAAGTCTTTATCAAAGTTGTAAAAACTCTCCTGAGAGTAAGTATGTTGCAGTATCGTTAAACTTGCTTAACTAGATTGATGAATTTTAAGTAAAAAGAATGAAAGTAAAAATGAATGTGAAAAAAAAAAAAAGATCGTTAAGCTTTATTTATATAGATATGCGAGTATTAATAATTCCTATAATTGATTAAAAAGAACTTACTGATTAATCGAAATCGTGAAACATTCTTTGTAAATTAACAAAGAAATTAAAACAGATGAATTCTGTTTTGTGTACTAAACAAACTTGTTTTCCGTTTTTGGCAAACAGAGTAATTAAATTCTTGCAGTACAGTGCTTGCAATACACAAATTTATATATTGGTGCATTGTTACTAAATAATTAATTTTTTGAAGATCTTTTGTTTCCTCATATAATGTTAATAATTGTCATATTATATATATGATTTTAAGCCCAATAATTTTAATATTTCAATATATTAGAGGTTACACGAACAAATTAATGAAAATTTTCTTGCAAATATAATTTAAAAAAACGAAATAAAATTTGAACATAGGATTCTATTACCCAAGATAGGACAGGAAAGTACCCTTTATTATTTATTAAATAAAGATTGTCGATTTTAAAAATTAATAAAAGTTGTGGTACTTTTAGATTGTAAACGAGAAAGGAATAATCGAAGATTTAGGAAGTACACATTTTAATTAATTTAATTTTAAAATAAAAGATTGGTTGGTTTATTTTCAACATATTAATACACAATTAAAAACAAAAGTTTTGCGGGATCTTCATTCTGATCGCAAAAAACGAATCTTTCAAATAATTTAAATCTTTTCGCGTTAAGTCCTAAAAATTTATCATTATTATTTTCTTTTGAGGAAAAAAGTTCAACATAGCAAATATTGAATAATTAACACGACGTTTTGATTGGTTCACTGTTCTAGTAAACTTGTTAACCAAAATAGAGTTAGGTTGGTGCTAATGGCATCTATCTAATTTTGTTAATTGAATAATATTTGATAAGAAAATGTCGTTCCTCTAAAATCTGTTTTAGTATCAATGTTTCCGAGCTTTAATAAAGACAAAATATGTTATTCTACTCTATTCTGTCAAAAAGACAATTATGTAGTAAATGATTGTAAACAAATATTTGGTAAAATGCCTAATTTGTCCTCTATATAATACTAATTAAAAAGGATTATTATTGATTAATTAGTTTTCGCTCTTCTACAACGATTTTTCTGTTACCACAGTTATTGTTATTATTTTTTCTGAAATCATAATTATTTTGAGATACTGTTGTGTATAAATAACAAGAAGAACAAAGTACATCGATACAAAGAAAAAGGCATAATAAAGATTTAAAATCTAAATAATGCATTAATATTTATAATATTTTTCTTTCAATCAAATACATTTAGGTAAATAATTGTACAATTTCGATACATCATGAACTGGTGGAACATTTAACAACGCTTAACGTGGTGAAAAAATAGAATCGTAAATAAACATAGGATGCACTTTCCAATGCAAAAAGGGAGAGATATAAGGAAATTAACAGTCAATGTTCTACACAGTAGCATATACATGACGCACACATGCAAACTCGATAAGTAGGACACGCAGGGGCGGGCACATGTGACTGACTTATGGGGTAAACATAAATAACTAAAACGTATAAAATTATTTATTATGAAAAATTTCTAAGGTAGATTGCTTTAAAAAGGAGCGTTTTGCTTTCTTCTAATTTGATGCTGCAAGTTTCTCATTTCTGATACTACTACTATTAAATTATTTTACCTTATATCGGAATTTTGTTGCAAATAGTTGAATTTTGAATGCTATCTAGAACAATTGTATTTGATATTAGAAATATCCATATTTTTGTCCTCTTCTTCTTCTGACGCTTTTTGTACTGCAGCAATTATCTCCATCGTTCATATTCTGTAATCAACAAATCATCTATTAATTAATAAACAAGTACATTCAGTCAAATCTTTTTTCAGTTGATTCTCAGCTCCATATGTAATTTTTTATTTTTTTTCTCCATTGCACCGAGGGACAGTTAATTACAAAAATATACAAAAAAAGTTTACTATAACGCGATTTACTGTTGTCCACTTCAACGAGTTTTGACTGTAAGTGATTTTTTATTTATCGCTTATCCAACTATACTCAGTTGGAAAATTGCGATAAGCACCAAGTTGATTAACCACTTATATAAATTGATCAACTTATCAAATTTTTTTAAATATTAAAAAAAGGGGTGGCGAGTTAGGCCAAAACCGACTTATCAAGTTTACATGTGTATTATGAAATTGGAAAATTCCTAATTTATTATATTGTACGGATTCACTATACAGTATATCCCAGATCTAGATTTATAATAATATTAATATCACATCCTTCAATTTAAAGAAAAAACAAATACCGCTTAGCATTAGAAACTATTAATATGACATATTTAAATTTTTTTCTTCACTAGCCAGGCTAACAATTACCATATATTTAAATATTACAAAAAAGTTTATTTAACAAAAATTCTAATTAACTTTTGGAAATCAGGTTATTAGGAACTAAAAAACCATTTATAATGTCAAATAAAACCTCCCATTCTATTGAACTAAAGAAGAATCTAACTCTGGCACAAGTAAATAAAAAGGCGGATATGAGTCACAATTAATATCAAGGATGGTTGACTAATTATATATGACGAAATTCATATTTATTATTATCTCCGAGTGTCTTTTGACGAAATCAACGAAATTTATCCGGCCAATAAAATCAAGTTTGAACAATTCATCTAAATGTTTATGCTCTATATTCCATTGATGATTTACTAGAAACTGATTCACTACGTAAATTGTGTTTTCTAAGAATGATTTTGGTTTATTTTTAGATTTAGTCTTTGGTTCCAGAATATTATCAAGTTTTCCTTCTGAATTTCCAGTATTTAAATCTCCGAAATCCTTTTTTTATAAATCCTCATGGTTCTTCATTTTGTGAATCATAGTAAATATTATTTACTTCATCTTCTAAGTAAATGAATAATCATAAATGAAAAAAATATAGGTATAAAATAAATCATTGAATGTATATTATTAGGATACATATTATTATTACCTTCATGATTTGTTTCATCATTATATATAATTTAAACCTTGAGTTAAACCAATTTGATTAGATTCAAACTCGGGTGAAAATGCTTCAAAACAATTAGTAGTATTGCTAATTTGTAATAATGGTTCACTTAACTGAGCTAAACATACATTGTCATCATTGTCTTCATCATCCTCACCATTACTGTCATCATCATTCTCTTCATATTTAACATTATCTTCGCCTTCATTTATTTCATTAAAATCTTGTCAATATCTACTTCATGATCTGTAATCACATTTCTAATTTCTTCTGTCATTAAGTTGTTTCCATAATATTCTATTTCTATACAGAGGTGCAAGCATTTTGTTAACTAATGATTCATATAATGATAATATTACCAATAATTAATGTCAGTGTTGGCATTAATTATTGTTATATATTATTAACATTAACAATTTAATAATAATGATCCAAATTATTTAATTTAAATAATTAAACCCATCTATTAAATAACCTTTCCACGCACGAAAATAATTAAATTTTTTTTTTGGATTTATTACCATGTGATATATCACTTGCGTGTGGGATATAGTAAAAATTTATTACTAGTTACTTTGAAAAAATTTTAAAATAATGGTAACCGACCAAGGAACATCAAATACTTTAGGTAATTATTTTCAACATGAAAAGGATGATATATATGAAATTTCATCAATTACACTAGAATTGTCAAATAACAAAAGAAAACATACTGGTGATAGACCATTGTCGGAAGTTTGGACTCATTTTACAAAGGAGATGAAAAAACCAAAGGCCATTACGAAGCAACTTGTAAATATTGTCATCAGAGATGGGATAGAGCTTATCCTAGTAGATTGTAAATTCATCTAGCAAATCAATGTATTGAGTTCCAGCGTTCATTTGTAGTTTCGGCACAGTGATTGAGTTTCGACAAAGTGACTAAGTTTCAGATTATTAGTTTCTACAACCTTAGTTTAACATTCAAAATCATTACTCTTTTTTTTTTCATAAAAATTATGTTTAAAAGTATTCAAATGCGAGAGCAAAGATTTAATTATTTTATTTATTTAAAAATTAGAAATACAATTATAATAAATCAATTAAATTGTTAATAAATAAATTTAATAAAATAACATGAAGTCCCGAATATGCAATTTTTATCAATTTCGTCAGACAAAAAAAAATATTGCACATGTATCTATATTGTATTTTTATGAACTGGTTTTTGATGCAAAGCAAGGATAATAAGTTGTGTTATTAGTTAATGATTTGTAGGGCAAGGTCAGTACTCGATCAACAGTTGATTTAACTTGTTTGTAAAAAACCAAACTTTTAGCTTCTACATAGAGTTATCCAGGTCTTCACACAGTCCTTGGCAAATTGTTAACACAATGCTTGTCGGTAAAGTGTCCTGTCGGTAAAGTGATCCAGACCCCTGAAGAAGTATTTCTAAGAGATGACCAGCCACCAAGCGCTGAAAAATATTTATTATAAAAGTATTTACCATATTTCAATCCAAAATAACCCAAAATAAATTAACTTTACCTAGTGTTGAATTTTCAGCCTTTTCTAATATTGAATTTATTTTTTGATTAACATTTCAACTTCTATATCTAACAATCCTTGTGATGATACTTTTCTTAACGGAGGCTGGTATGCTGGTCATAATCATTTTAGAATGAAATATAGATGCTCAATTACATGAAAAGGAATATTGCAGCAGACAAATGCCTTGATTAAAGATCTGTTGATTGAATTTTCACATTCGTTTGTTAAAGGTGTACTTTCATAAATGAAGAAATATTAGTTTGTCAACTAACATTAGGAATTTTTTTGTAAACTTGCTTTTGTTTTACTTAATTCTTCAAGACATTTTTTTCTGGTTTGAGAAACACAACTCATACAATAGTTTGCTAAATTGTTAATAGTTTTTGTGATTTTCCACGACTATACGATTTAGTACAATACTTACATTTTGCACTATAATGGCCTTTAGAATTCTTTTACTTGTATTTTTGAGAAATGTTGCCAAACTTTAGATTGAGGTCGTCCTGTTTGAGTTGATCTCATCTGTTGTGACAATGGATATGGTGTTTCTTGATCACAATGACAAAGACTCCTTGTAAGTGAACATACAATTAAAAAAATTTTTTTGGTACCCACATAGATCATTGATAACGGTTTGGCGAAATAATTTTCCCCTTGCCTGCAAAGTATTTCGTTGACTATTCTTGGTCACGATTCACAAAACTTTTAAATGTAAAGAAATATTTTTATTATCGAGAGCGATTTACTTATGATTCTTCATAATATTTTCCTATTGCATTTCTCCTCGTGTTTCTGTAGTACTGCTAATCCGTTGTTTATTGTAAATTCGAAAATCTCAGTTCGTCTATGGTGCATAATTTCATCAAAAGGAGGCATTCATATCAAGAAAAGTAAAATAATATAATAGATAAAGGCGGTTCGGTTTAGGATTCTCTGCAAAAAATAAAAATAGTAAAAAAGCAAAACTGCTATAGCTATTAGCTTAATTCAACTTAATTTTATTTAAAAAAAAATAGATGATTTATCACCTGACTTTAATAATTTGGGGAAACAAACCCACATGTAGCGATATAAATAATGCATAATAATATATATTGCAAATCATTAACAATAAATATAGTATTGTTTTCCAAAACAGTATATTAATATTGCAAAATTAGTTTAACTTTCGCCTCTTCAAAATGGTTTTGGCGACCGACACTAAATAAGTAAAACAAATCAGACCTCATTTGAACAAAAAAAAATAAATCTAACTGTATTTGAATATTTCTTTTTTTATTTCTTTGGAAATTTTAGAGCTCACTTATTGGGTTTCGAGGAGTAGAAAATGTGTACCATACTGAAGCCATGTGAGTGAAAAAAATTAAATAAAATAAAAAACCAATCAGCAAGTGCGCACTGAAAAAGTTAGTACGGTACTCACTTGCCTTCAATATGGTACGCATTTTCTATATATCCTTGGGTTTCTATGGATTTTGAAGGTTAAAAACTAGAATTTATCGTAAATTTTCACGACTAAAATTAGTATTTATACATTCAATGGGTCAAATTCAACCAATATATTAAAATTCTTGTCAATACTTTTCCAATAATCTTTTTTAGTTGCACAGGGGAAGTATAAGAGCCAATTTTTTATGTTTTGACATAGTAGTAAATAAAATATTTGGAAATAACGCTTAGATTTAACGAATCAAGCAAGTTACTTGGTAACAATCAATATAAAACTTAGGTAGGTCATTGATTGATAACTTTACTCCCGGGAGGATATCTTATCTACCTTATATAGTTATAAATATTCATAATGGCAGAAAATATTTAATTCACAAATGCGAAGATTTTTCAATAATTGGGAAAATTACTGTAAAAACAGTTGTCATTATCAATGATTTCACAAATGCGAAGCCTTTACCAAATATATAATCGTTGTGACGACATTGTAAAAATGTCATTATCATAAACATTTCATTATATGAAATCTTTGTTATTCAAGACTTTTCTACCAATGTCATGCAAAGAGAGGATAAAGAAATGGTTTAAAGAATTAAACATCATACTTATTGTCTGGTTATAATTACGATTACAACATCCGAAATAAGAAATATTGGATAGATGTAAAAAGGAAAGTGAAAATCACGGAAATGTAATGAAACACTATTTTGCCAATATTTGGCTTTGCATGAATAAATTGATTCATCTGAAGCAGATTTTGCGATTGTAAAATTTGTGAAATGCAAAAGATCATGCGGTAATGCGTTTCTACTCACGGGTCGAAATTTTTGATTTTGACAAAGATAAATTTAGTTAAAATATTATTAAAATAACATATTTTTCTAATTTT